GGGGAGAAAAAAGAATGAACAAAATTTCCCTGCATGCACTGTTGGCTGTTGCTGCAGCCAGTGGCTTTCTGGCAGCCAGTGGCTTTCTCAAGAAGGCAGCTTGAGGAGGAGGAGGAGGAGGAGGGGGCTGGCTGGATACTGAAGGAAAGGTAGAATGTCTCAGTGGTTAGGGCACTGGCCTTTAACTTGGGACACTGGGGGGGGGGGCGGGGTTCCGGCTCCTTCTCTGCCACAGACTTCCTTGGTGGCCTTAGGTAAGTCACTTTGCATCTCTGCATCTTGGTTCTCTGGCCTGTATCATGGGGCCAGTGGCACTGCTCTATCTCACAGTAGTATTGTGGGGACAGAAAGGGTAAAGAAGCAGCGTGACCAGGTCAGACAAGCCCCATGGGTAGATGGGAGCCAGATTCAGGTCAGGACATCATTATTCTGTTATCCGCCCTGCCGCAAATTCACTGAATGACTTTTGACACATCAATTCATCCTCTTGTGCCCTTCTTTCCCTCATTTGTTTGATGGGTACTAATAACCACCCTTTCCCCTGCTTCCTTTCTCCTTACCCTGTAAACTCTACAAGGAAGGATGTTGCCTGTACAGCACCAAGCACATTCAAACTCATGACCATGAATGTCTTGAGCCCCTTGACACTATAGCTAGTGCCAAGTTAATCTATCCAGGCTTGGCTGGGCTTCCCTGACATGGTTCCTTAGTCAGCATGGTCACATGGCACAGGACACAAACATAGCTGAGCCACATGGGCTTGTTCTGCATGTCTGTTTGTATTGGCGCATTCTAGGCAGTTACAAGAGGCTGTCTGGAGCTGCTGGAGCCAGGGGAAGGGAATGCATACTTCCCAGTAGTGCAGTGGATGCTGGGACATCCTGTGCTTGGAGCCCAAGGTTGGGGAGAATGTGGCGGTATGGTCAATGCAGATAGATGCAGCAAATGCATCAGCATTTTTGTAGTCACATGCCTAGGAACCACATGTTAATGGTGCTGGGGCTGATGGAGCCACAAGCTGAGTCAGTCAGGTCACAAATCCCACTCAGGTATACAACATGGCTGGCTTGTGGCTCAGGAGACATGCACCAGTGTGGGGAGAGGGGATGAGGCAGAAGGAAAGAAGCACAAATGGGCATGGATGGAGGCTGAGGGGACTGTGGCAGCAACTACCCTTGCCACAAGCAATGCCCACAGCCCAAATCACTGCAAGACCCTCTGGTTATTTTTGCAGAAAAGGAGGAGATTGATCACCCCAACAACAGCTTCAGCCCCTGCAGCATCCAAGACCGGAAATGCCATCAGAAGCAGCAGGCGAAATCCCGTGAGCGGGCCAACAACGGTGTCAAGATGAGGAGTACGCACATCCGGGATGAGACAAGGCCAATAGTGAGATGCCCCATTTCTCCTCTTCCCCTCCCAGTAGCCCTTTCCCTTGGGGCTGGACCGGTCTGGGAGGGAGCTGCCATTGCAGCTGCACAGGGGTAAAATCAGTGCCCTGTGGTCCTAATGCTTTGGTCAGGTGCCTGTTAGGACATGTCTCTATGGCACACAGGAGCATAGGATCATAGGCAAGTAGGGCTGGAAGGGACCCAGGAGGTCATTTAGTCCAGCCCCTGCTCAAGGCAGGATTGTTCCTGACTAAACCATCCCAGCCAAGTGTCTGTCCAACTTGATTTTGAAAACTTCCACATATGGAGATTCCACAACCTTTCTGGGTAGCCTGTTTCAGTGCTTAACTCCCCAACACTTAATGTAACCAAAACAGATATATTACTTTCTGTCCAGGAGTTGGCATCCCTGGAGCAGGCATGGGGTGTCCTAGCAAGGTGCTGTGTCGCTGGCTATTTCTTTAGAAGCCAGTAGGGTGGTGGTTCTCAACCTTTTTAGACTTATGGCACCCCTTGGAACATGCCAACACTTAGCTTTCACTCATTTTTTGACTATGGATGAAACCTAGAGCAATTCTTCTGTTACAAAGAACTCAGAAAGTCCAAAGCAGGTTATCATGTCTTTAACACAATATAGATTCCTATTTGAAATCTCTGGGTTTATCTTGTGAATCATGTTTGCATGCCTAATGGTGTTAACATTGTGCAGTACCCTTGAAAGGGTCTGAAGGCATCCCAGGGTGCCACAGCTCCCTGGTTGAGAATCACCGTCATAGGGGGTGCTTCTGTGCAAGGATCTGCTGACAGCTGGAGTTTGTACTGTCCACATCAGCAGGGGGTGCTCTTGCAACAATGGCTAGCATGGGGCAATGTATACACCCTCCAGTGCACTAGCAAGTCACCACTAGTAGGGGGTTAGAGAAACAGATTCCTTACTGAGGGTGGGATGTCGAAAAACTCCTAGGGTTGTCAGTGATGATCTGGGAACAGTGGTGAGAATGGTGTCTCCTTGGTATTTGGCAATCAAAAGGGCTAAACTAGGACATGGTGAATTTCCAGAGACAGGAGGGATGTTTTATTCCAGGGGTAGCCAATCTGCAGTACGCATGTCGCAAGTGGCACAGGCAGCCTCTGTGTGGCATGTAGCAAACAAGGGAGGGACAGGTAGCATGGTGGCAGATAGGACAGGAAGCAGACAGCAGAGCAGTGTATCAGACAGGGAGCACAGAGCAGGGAGCAGAAAGCGGAGCAGCAGATTGGGCAGGAGAAGGGCACTGGAGTGGCACTCAGGGAGGGTGTGGGGCTAATTTCTGGCATGCCTGCCAAAAGGTTTGTCCTGTACCATTTTATCTCATGTCACTTCTTTCCTGAGGGGGTTTACAGACACCTCTTCCACCCAGGGGACCATTGGCTAGAGAGGACAATAGAACTGCCCTGCCAGCTGTTCACCTTCTGGGCTCTCTCTCTAGGAGGACGTGACAGTTTGCAATAGAGTGTGGTTTCAGCCTGTTTCTGTGGGTGCTGAATGTGGAGGGAGATGGGTATATCCCATCCTTCTTTGATGGGGGTCTTGATAGCTGCTGCATTTTTAGGCGCAGGGTTCCTGCCAGAGTGAGCTGCACAGAGCTCTGGAGAGACTAGCTGCCTCCCAGGGCCGAACTCATGAGGACTTGTACATCATCCCCATCCCAAACTGTGACCGCAATGGAAACTTCCATCCGAAGCAGGTACGGACAGAGCACGTGTCTCACCTTGAGCCAGCCACCCCATGGTACTCTCAAAGGGCATGTGTGTTGGAGACCATGAGAGAGGCTGTTCTTCTGGGCATAACTTTACAGACCCAGTGGGTAGTAAGGCTCAGTGAAGGAAGTGATAGGTGGTTTTGTGGCTGAGACACAAGAGTCTCAGCCAGGACTCCTGAGTCAACTCCTAGGTGACCCTGAACCTGGATCCCAGGCCTACTTTTTCAAAAGGTGGGCTACCTTATGTTCCTCCTGATCTCAGCTCTTGTGAATATCAGGTCCTAGGGATCTCAAGCTGAGCACCCAGAGCTAGAAGGAACCATTCAAGAACTCAGCCTTCCCCTCTCTGTCTCTTGTTCTGCTGGTTTGCAAGATGGGGATGGTTATGCCCACCCCTGTACCTCACTGAGCTGGGCTGTGGATCCTTGGCTTGGAAGGTGCTACGGCTAGGCCTTTTTCTGAGACTCCAAAACATGGGTTGCTTGTGTGACCAGCCTTCTGCAGCTGACCTTACTCAGACTGTGCAAGCTCTTTGTTATTTGAGTAATGCTTGCACTACAGGGTCTGCAACTGCTGTGGGCCAGATTCTGCCTGGGTGAATCCCCTAATTTGAGAAACCTATCTCCCACTGAAGTCAGAGAAGGTGAGGACCAGAAGGGACCTTCTGGGAGTCCTGTCCCCTGCTTTGGCAGGCAACCATACCACATATTCCATGGCACCGCATGTCAAGCAAGGGGTGTGCCAGGGAGGGTAGACTCTATTGCTGGACTATTTGCCCAGTTCAGTGGGCTCGTGTTGAAATCATTGGGAGATCTGCCCTTCTGATGAAGGGGCCTCTTGCTGAGTCCCTGGAGCTATAGAGCAGTGAGTTGCCCTGGCAGAACAGGTGAGCTTGTTGCTTGGCTGCCCAAGCACACGGCTGCCCAAGCACACAGCTTATGTGGAAAGTCCTCTCTTCAGGCCCAGCAGTCAATAACCTGACCTCTTCCCTGCCCATATCTCTCCTAGTGTCACCCGGCTCTGGATGGGCAACGTGGGAAATGCTGGTGTGTGGACCGGAAAACAGGCGTCAAACTGCCAGGCTTCCCCGAGCTGAAAGGGGACTTGGATTGCCACCAGCCAGCTGATGGCGTGCGAGAGTGACCCCATGGTAAAAGGGGACTATGAGATTTCCTTGGCGACCTGCTGAGGCTGAACAAACCCATTGGTGCTGTCTAGGAGTGGGAAGGAAGGGACACTACCACAAAACAACTCCCTGTGCCCAGGGGATCCCAAGCTGTACTCTCGTCCCAGGCAGAACGGCACCCCCATCCTGCAAAACATCGATGCCCTGCTCTGCAGCCGCTACCTGCCCCTCTTTGATCCTCACTTTGATCCTACCCCCAGCTCTGGACATGGACCTGGGGGCTCCTGCCTGCCCCAGGCTACAGACCAGGCTTGGGTTAGGCACATGTGCCAAAATGACCACTAGCTACGGACACCACAAGGGCTTTCCCATTTGGGACACCTCCTGCCATCCTTTCCCCCTTTCTGACAGCCTCAAGGGGGATAGTCCCCTCCCCAGCCTGTCCCACTTTGCTCCAGCCCAGGTAGCTGGGAAAAGGTTTCTCTTGTCAAGGGACAGCTGGGGGCTCTTTGCCAGGGCACAGAAATTATGGTAGTGGCTGCGGTGTCTGCACAGCCTCCCCTACCCCCCTGCATTCTCTGCTCCCCGTGGCTGCTAAAGGGAGCTGTGGAGTCCCCAGCACAGGTGTGGGGATGTGCTGCATCTATTTTGAGGGAAGCAGGGGCTATTTTGAGATCACTATGCCAAAGTTCAAAGAAGGAGAGAAACAGAAATAGCCTCCAAGTCTTGGCTGCCACCGAGCATTTGGCATACGTTACATACTGGGTTATGTTCCTACTCAACAAGGCTGCAGGGCTGTTGTGTTCTCAGCCCTGTCTCCCACCCCACAAACTGTTTTTAATGTGATCACACCATAATGGGTGCAAGGATTTCCTAGTGTCCCACCCCCTCTCTTCTATGCTGGCATATTGCCAGGGCGAGTTTAAAGCACAGGACCTAGACGCTCCTGCCCATGATCTAGGTCCTGGAGTCATGTCATTGCACCAGAGCCTCAGCTTTCCTGGAAAGAAAATGGTGTCCAACTCTCATGGGTTTTCAGAAAGCAGCTCAAAAATGTGACCCAGGTGTGAAGGATGGATGCAGCAGCATCTTCCTGAGTCTGCAGACAGCCTGAACTAAGAGCTCTGAGAAGGGGAATGGCTACATTCATCTCAATGGGGTGTTGACTCCAACACCCATCATTTTGACTTTGTTAGCCCCCAGAGCAGAGGACATTGTTTGGCAGGAAGAGATGAGTATGGTGAGCCTGGTTCCTTTCTGTCCCAGGCCCAGTAAGCACTGGGATTTCCTTACCACCACCCCTATCCGTTGTGGGGGCAGGGGAACATCAGCCTGCCCAAAGGGGCATATTATAGCAGGTGCCAGCAGACAGCACTTGGATGGGTGGCATTTGCCACTGTTGCCTGAGTTGGGGTGTGGGGGGTGGAATGGGGATGCCGTGTCAAAGAAACCTCTTTGTTCCCTTGCTGTCTTTATCTGGTCCAGCCTGTTGCCAGACAAGGCAGCATGTCTCCATGTGAATGCATGTGTGTGTGGGTGAGCATGGAGGTACGAGTGTGGAGGTGAGTGGTAACTGCTTGCCAATCTGCAGCTGGTGGCAGCAGGGATGAGAACAAGAAGACACCTAAGAAAGTCTCTGGGGAGGCAAGGGAGTCCCAGTAGGAGGATCCACCTGTAAGAAGCCCTTCCTGTCCCATGTGCAGTATCAAAAAATCTTACAATTTAATGCCAAGCCTTAGTGTTTTTCCCTAAGCCCCAGCTCCTGGAAAGGACACTTCAGGCCATCCTGGCTCTAGAGAAGAGCATGAAGGTGTAACTCAGCTGTTCCCTAAAGTTTCAGCAACCAGGAGACATGTAACATGAGCCCTAAATTTAGCTTTTTTTTTTTACTCTTGTGCTTTTTAAGCCAATCTCTTGATTACTGGGTGGTTCTGCCTCCTGCTTTTGGAACACTTGGGATGGGCCAGATGGGTGCAGCCATCTATATTTCAGGAAATGGTTCCTGAAGGTCATTGTCAAAAGGTCATCAGAACCAGAACTTTCTGAGCTGAGGTAGGCAAGAAGCAGCCTCTCACACCACCAACTGCAACCCCAACCTTACTTAACTCTGGGAAAGTCCCCATGCTGGTCCCTCTCCCGGTCCCTCTCCCTATAACAACTCTCCTGCAGATCCTAGTCCAGGGCTCGGTAACATTTTTGGTTTGTGTGCCAAAAACACCCCAACTCTGACCCACGCCTCGGCTTGGAGAGGCAGGAGCAGACCACAGGGGAGCCACGAGGGGCCCTATCCTTGTGGCTGGGGCTGGCTGCATGCGTGCCTCCAGGTAGATGGCAGAGGAAGGGCTGGGGTTGCACTGTCCCAGGCCCCTCCCCTGCCATCCGCCTAGTAGTGCATGTGCACCCGCCGCGGAGCCTGGCTGGGGCTCCGGAGCCTGGTGCTGCTATTTGCACCCTGGCTGCCTTCTGTGAGCAGCCCAGGCTCCATAACCGGTGGCAGCTTCCCAGAGCCCAAGCCAGTTGTAGTGTGCCGAGCAAAATGGCCTTGCATGCCATGCTCTGATGCCTGCCGACACCTATCCTAGCCCCATCACAGCGCCAAACTTATCAGCACTCTGTAGCCAGGGCCTCTCTCTCCCAATCAGCCTGAAAAAAAGATCCCTTCCCTTTGCTTTGGGCCAGGTAGTCGGGGTAAGCAGAAGACAAGCAGAATGGGGCTGACCAAGCCCAGGTGTGAAAGGATACTCGGGGTTCCAGAGCGAGACCCACAGCAGCATTGCAGAGCTCATTTCCTTTCTTAGAAGTGAGATCCTTTCACTAGTGAAAACCAGCACATGCTGCACTGGCCTCTGTTTGCTAGTTTGCATCAGCTCTGGGTACCCCTCACTATCCCGACTGCGTCCGTCCATTCTTAGAAAAACATCCTTCTGTTTTAACTTCTCCATAGCAGCAAAGAGCCATTTAGAAAGAGCAAACAATGACTGATGGCTGGAGAATTTTGAGCCCATCCTGGAAGCAGGCTGGAGCCCTGAGCTGTCAGCGGCCGCTCTCTGTTGACTTGAGAGTCAGGTGGTGAGTTCTGGCTGGCGCATTCACTTGCAGTGGGTTTATGCTGGGCACTGGGGGTGGGGGTGAGGGTGTGGGCTGGAGAAGTGCTCTCCTTGTACTGGAACAGTTGTGTGCTGGGCCTAAGATTTATGGTCTTGCCTCACTGTCCTTCCAATGTTTTGACTCGGAGACCTCCGCAGAGTGATTTATAAGGGGAACTACGTGAGCCTTCTCTCCCCACCTCCTCCTTCTCCTCCTGCCTGGAATCCTTTGCTTTCAAGGCACTTCCCTTTGCAAAGGAGGAGCAGATAAGATCAGCTTGGGGTTCAGCTCCTCATTGCTTCCTGGCAGCTGCTGAGTTGTTTTTCTTTCCCCTTTTTTATGCCGACTCCACTGACGAACATACAAGGCTGCAGGACGAAAGAGTGAAGCCAAGGCTCCTGTCGGCACAAATCCACCCCAAACCTGACAGCTTGCTAACCCCTCTTCTCCCTCACCTCCTGCAGCCAGCACACCCCTGTGGGGATATCAGTTTACCAGAGCAGGAGCTAGAGAGGCAGGAAGGCAGCGGCTCTGAGAGCTGTACCAGGGCAGCAGAGATGGGAGTGGAAACATTGACTGCAAGGACTGAGATGGATATAATCACCCTTCTCAGACCCCCAAGGGGCAGCAGACCCCACTGAGAGCCCCCAAGGAAAGTCAAGCTGGTGGGAGAGTCTATACCAAACACCTAGTACATGTTAGGCATGCCTGTGCTTGGAGCTGGCTCCCCCTGTAGTTATTTGTGCAATTTATATTCAGGGCTGCATTGGCTGCTAAACCTGGGGGGTCTTGGTCCTCTCTGTGCTGGAAGGCCCTTCACCTTTATTCCATTAGCAAAGCAGCCAGGGCAGGGAGAGTGATGACCTCTCTTTTAAATAATGCCAGGCTACACAGAGGCTGTGCAGTGTTCCCTGATTTGAGTGTGGGCTGCATTCAGAGCACTGCTGGTTTGCCTCACCAGCTATTCTGAAAATTCAGAAAAATACTGTTTCAGTTCAACCCAAAAGGAAAAGATTTTTAAAATTTTGGGTGAGTGGAACAGCAGGGGAAAAAAAAGAGGTTGTTTTTTGGGATAAGCAGCAGCTGACTTGGATTCTAAAGGGATTTCTTTTGAATATTTTAAAAGTAAAAAAGAGGGAGATTGTGAAACAAAAACTCTTTTTTGGTTCCAAAACCATAGATGCTTCATTTGTGCTCAAGTGAAATGCTTCAGCATTTTTTCATTGTTGTTTTCCATCCCCAACTAGACAGTTCAACAAACCCAAGACAACTCTGTGAGTTGTTTCTAGCTCCCCCCCATCAGCAGCTTTTTTTTGCTAGAAAAAGAAATCAACTGAAAGAGTTTTGCCCAGCTTTTTGCATAAGCTTGTTGATACTTTGGCAAGGGGTGCCTTGTCCATAAAGGGCTGGTTGGTTCCTTCAGGGTTGGCTTTAGTGTTGCTGCCCTATATTATGGTGCATGAATACTGCCATCCAGAAGAAAAGCCTGGGGCAGTGATGCTGGTAAGAAATGCTGTCAAAATGACTTTTAGACCACAAGACACCATTTTTGTTGAAATCAAAATATTTCCCCTTCCCCTTCCAAAGGCACTGATTTTGATGACATTTTATTTCAAATCCTGCACCTTTTAAAGGGTGCATTTGCATAGCATCCAAACAGCCCATTGGCACATTTTCTGAATGAAACCTTTTGATCTTTTGGCATGTTGAAACCAAACTTGCTGCTTTCTCGGGACATTCCTCTGTGGGAAGTTGCCATGTTTTTTGTTTTCATTTGGTTTGGAAAGTGGAAAAAAAGTGTCAGAATGGTGGAATTTGTCTTTGAATGAGAAATCCAGGTCCTTCCCAGCGCTACCCCGCCATGAGATTTCATTTCCTTCCCCGCTGGTTGGAAGGTGACTATGTGGTTACCGGCTGAAGAAGACAGGGACAGCTGCTACAACTGCAGTGTGGATTTAGGGTGGTCTGGGAAAGACAGGGCACTGTGTTGAGTGCTGGCTGAGGTGAGCACATGGTCTCTTATCTCTTGTGGCAGCAAGTGCCACAGTGCAAGAGCTGTCTCCTTCCATAGACCCTACTCCTGTCTCCTGGCTGTGGGCCAGCCGTGTCATTGTTCCGTGGATCACAGCTGCTAGGCAGGAAGAGCCAGTCCCATGGGGAGTTTGGAATGTCAAGACATGGACCTTGAACTGGACTCTGGATTTGAGTTTGTTAAGCTTGGCTTTCCCTGTGTTTGCTGTCTAGGGACATGCAGTGTACACACCCGCATGCATGCCAAGTCCCTTGCAACTCCCGAAGCACATGCGTGCACATCTATGTTCCAAAGCTATCGGCCACACGTCCTCACCCTCATCGGCTCTG